AATCCAGTGTGATCTCATCTTGCCTTGATTATATCTGCAAAGGCCCTATTTCCAAACAAGCTCTATGGTTCGCATTTACAGGTGTCATGGGTTAAGATTCCAACATTTCTTTTTGGAGGGGTACAATTCAACCCTCAACATTCAACGTGTTCTTATTGCATACTGTGTGGTATACGTGTCTGGCACAGTGGCTTCTCCCAACAATGTTTTACATATTTACAAGCCTTCAGGAGGACTATGATGCTCTTGCTCATATACCGACCACTTCCAAACTTCCTGGGGATTGCCTCCTGCAGCATAATTGCGATAGTTATGAACAAACATCCACGATTGCCATAACTCAACATGTGTGAGTGTCTGGATTCTTACTGTGGTCCCACCAAGACCTTGTCTCATACAAGGTGGTGGAGGAAGGCAGTACAGTGCTTCTGACACCCGGAAGTACTGCCCAGGGAGCTTCTCCAGCATAAGTAATCAGCAAAGGCAATCAGTGCCGTGCCAGGACACGGGCCTGGAAAACTTCCCGATTGCACTGTAAGCATCTAGATAGCAAAGCAGCGCGCTGCCTGCTATTGTCCCATAGAGCAGGGGTGAGTCTCATGGCTGCTGTGTCTACAGCAGAGTGCTGGGCATATCATGGATGCTTCATAGTTGAGTACCTCCAAACATTTATGGACATTGGAATTAAAAGATAAGTTTATTTGGGCACAAAAAATAGAAATTTGTGCATAAGTTTTTCAGAGTCAGCATCTTCCATGAACTTTTTGAAGCCCCCAGTAGATGCCTGTTGTTAACTAACTGGGGCCGAGGGACCAGGGGGCCCCCACACTGAGACCGTCTGCCTGTTGGCATCACACATCTTGTTGGGATCTTACCTGCTGGCTGGAGTCCGTGGGGCTCAGCAGGTGACCCTGAAGATGAATTGGGATTAATCCACTGTCAGATATGGTCTCTTAGTTCATGAGTTTCTACGAACACACACAGTCTTAAGTTTACAAATCTGAGTTAAGACACGATGATTCTGAAGCAGACACTTTTCAAACATCTGAAGAATTTCTTGGCAGGACAAGCCTTGAACGTAAAGCTCCAGGGGGAAGGTCAGTGTGTGCCGCCGCAGGGGTGGGGAACGCCCAGGCTTGGAGGCCGTGCGAGGCCCGTGAAATCACCTGTTCTGCCTTGCCAGGACAGCTGCAGGCAGAACTCGAAATTCAATACAGCTGCAGCAGGCTCATTTGTAAGCTGGCATTTTTTGAATGGCCTGCGAAGGGTGTTAGAAACATCCAAATGGCCCTTGACAGGAAAAAAAAAAAAAGTTCCCCAGCCTTGTCTCAGAGCCTGACCTTGGGAGGTACCCCTACCTCTGTCCTGCCCTGTGCCCCAACAGTGTCCCCTGGAGCACCCCCGGGGAACCTGCAGAAGGCGTGTCTGTGGCCTCAGCACCCCTAGGGGGAGCACGTCACCCGGTGCCTTGCAGAAGCCGTGCCTGGGACCAGTGAGTGCTCTGTCCGAGCCTGCTTTCATAGATGTCCGTTCTTCACTGCCCTCAGAGTCCTCCCCCATGTCCTCCACGACCCAACAGAGTGAGCCGCTCCGCCTCGCCTGCAGGGGCGAGCAGGCCCCTCGGGGCTCTCTGCAGCCCCGTGGATGTGCCGGCCTTGGCTTCTGGTCCAGATTTCTCCTCCAGCAGCAGAGCCCTGAGTACCACAGCACCATCCCGCTTCTTTTGTTCTGTCCCCATCCACGGGGCTGGGCACCATCACCAGCCTCTAAATGAATAGATTCCCATAATTGAAGACAAGTTAAATAATCATCGCCACTGTTAGCTCTGAGCAGGGAAGGCGGCGCTGACGACAGGATTCTTGAAAAGATGAGAGGGAGGTTTGAATTCCAGGACAGACAGCGCCCTTCCTCGCGCTCCTCTGGCTCTGAGTTTCCTTTGTTTCTGCCTCCGAGGTCAGTGTCCCCTGCTCTTCGGCTGGGTAGGAGAGCCAGCCGTGACAAGCTGTCACCTGCTTGTCCAGGGTGGCTCTTCTCGAAGGCTCAGCCACCTGCTGGGATGGAGGTAGTGGTGGTGACAGGCCAGGCTCCGTGTTCACTGAGGCCCAACAGCGCAAGGTGGCAGGAGGGCTCGAGGCTCTCCGCCAGTGGACTTGGCACCGCCACTTTGCATGCAAGAGGGAACAGCTCAACAGCTGTCACTGACAGCCCCTGGGGTCTGCTCCAGACCTGGCAGAGGAGGACACTTGCAGACTCCCAAATCGCCTCTTTGAAATTCAGAAGCACCACACTTTCATCCCCTCCCCCTTCTCCGACACACACACACACACACACACACACACACAGATAAGCAAGTCCGGACACTCATTTGCTCCCAGGCAGGCCTGCACTGCCAAGTCCCCTCTCTGCCGCCCATACTGATAAGTTCTCCCTCGTGCAGAATCTGTTCCCATCCCCAACCCCCCGCACACGTGCACACGCACAGTCACACTAACCAAACTCCCACTCCTCTGACCTCACGTAACCCGGCTCTTTCAATAGAGTGAAATGCCGGGTGTTTTAGGAGACTGAAATGCTCTGTCTTCTGAGAGAGCCTTGGTGGTCTCAGGGCGTGGCCGCAGCCCTCCCCTAGAGGCGCCCCTGACTACCAGGCATCCCAAAGCTCTGGAGTCCCCGGATGGATTTCTCACCCTCTGCCTGGCCCTGGACACCTAACACGTAGCTAGCAACAGTCAGCGCTTGTATCTGGGGGATGCTGAGGACAGAGCATTCGGGGCTGCGCACGCCAGCCTGCCCTGCAGGCACTCGGCACATTGCTGGCATTTGTGCAAGCCTGCCCGTGTCCCCGGGGAAATCAGGACTGTCTTCTCAGCAGCAAGCTGGACGCGTGCCTGTGTGTGCTGGGGGAGACCCAGGCCAGGCTGCCTGCCCTCCTCCCAGGCCCCAGTCGGAAACCAGATACAAATGCACGGTACAGCCCCTCCCTCCCTCCCTCCCCCCACACATTAGCCATGTGCACGTTGTTAAGACTCTCTTGCTCAGCGTCCACCATGCGTCTTTGGTGCTGTGAGCACACTGTAAGCACGGCCAGAACAAAAATAGCCTCTCTCAGTCCAGGCAGGCCACTCAGGAGAGGGGGAAGGGAGCTGTCTGCTCGGTGCAGTCACCGGAGTGAGAAGGGTTCGGGCAGCGGGAAAGCGTGATGGGGCCGGAACCTGGATAAAGATGGAGAGTGCCCTGCTTTACCTCCTGCAAGCAGCGTCCATGCTGGACCAGCCGCGCCCTGCTCCTCTGCTCACCTGCCCGGATGTCCCCCACCGGGAACCCAGCTTCGGCCATCCCGGATTGCTTGCAGTCCCCAGCGTCTCTCTCACACGAAGCCTTCTCCTGGGTGTTAACTTCTACTCGAACTCGTAGCGGAGATTGTGGCTAACACAGACCCTTTGCCAGGCCCTGTCCCCAGCACTGTGTAGGTGTCAACCCTACAGGAAGGGTTAGGTTACTATTTGCCCTGGCTACATGGTTAAAAAGGAGCAGCCAAAGCTGCAGGAGCTCTCAACCACTGCAGGAAACTGCCCCTCTGACAGCTCCTGGCTGCATTCCACAACCCACCGATGTTACGGGATCTCCTTCAATTCTCGGAACCCCCTGTCCTCACCCTTCCCACTTTACAGTCGTCCTGGCTATGTGTGAACCTTTTGCTCTCTGGCCTGCCTCCCTGCCCTCCTGTGTGGTGTGAGATCATCTAGAGGATGTCAGCTCCCCACTGTGGGCCTGGCACACAGCGGTGCTCATTGCTTTCTCGTTGATGGCATGAATGGGTGGGCATCAGCCCGAGTTAAATGAATCCGGCTGAGGTCTGGCAGCCAAGCTGAGAGCCGAGCAGAAGTTTCCGGTGTGTGTTGGAGGGTGTATTCGTCAGCCCTCCATTACTGCAACTGCAGTGCCTGCAAGGAGCTGCTTAGGCAGGAAGAAGGTTTATTCTGGCTTACAGTTTTGGAGATTCACAGTTCAAGTTCGGGCAGCACCATCAGTCTAGTGTCTGATGGTGAAGTGTGCATGGAGGGAGGATCACCAGGCAGCCCAGAGGGAAGCTAGGCTGAACTCCGCTTATGAAACCAACCCCTCCTGAGAACTGTCTCACCAAGGGCAAGCCCCCAGGGCCGCAAGACCTCCCCTAGAGCATTATAGGGCCAAGTCTCCACCCTTAATCCATTTACGTAAGATGTTGGGGACCAAGCCCCAATTCCCAAGCCTCCTAAGGACAGGCAAAATGTTATCCAAAGCATCACATAGGACAAGAATAAGGAGAAAAATGCATCTCCAGCCCCCCAGGGTCCCCACCTCCACTGCCACAGGCAGCATCCTGAGAGGCTAGGCTACAGCCCCAGGCCCAGTGAAACCCAGTGCAGCCCAGGGCTGTCTGTGGGTGGCGGAGTCGGCAGGATGTCGTGCCCTCCCCCAGTGGGGTGCAGTAGAAGTGAGGCAGCTGGGTGCGACCCTGCAGAGGGAGGGTCCTCCAGGGGCTGTGCCTTGTGTCTCTCCTTTCCTTTCCTTGCTGTTGTGTTTCCTTCTGACCCCGATGTTGTGGCTTTTTCATTGCGATGCAACAGGCAGCATGGCTTGCATCTCACTCAGGAATCTCATGTGGCTCTAATGCCTCGAGGGCAGTTACAGTCTCTCCTCCCAGCCGTGTCCCCAGCGGTGACATTTCAACTAGTATAGGGAATCGAGATGGGGGGAGGGTGTGGTGGATGGGGTCTCAGGCTAAGCACCCCCTCATGCGTGGTTTGCCCACAGGCAGGGCAATGCCCACAGGAGCCACGCTGACTCTCCCTGAGCCCCTCCACGCACCCTCCCCTGGCCATGGGGCACACACCATCCTGGCTCTCCTAATCCACCAGACTCAGCTTGGCACAGGACCGGCAAGCACAGCTTATTTTCGCTTGTCTCCCATCGTGAGGATGATGGCTGGGCTGACAGCTCCCTACTTCTTCTTCCAGGGAGGGAAGATTCCTGTGAGATGGACGGCTCCTGAGGCCATTGCCTACCGCAAGTTCACTTCGGCCAGCGACGTCTGGAGCTACGGGATTGTCATGTGGGAAGTCATGTCCTTTGGAGAGAGACCCTACTGGGATATGTCCAACCAAGATGTGAGTGTCAGTGGCACCTGCTTGCCATAAGCCCCTCCATCCAGGAGATCCCACACATAGAGACACGCCAAATCCTCTTCTCTGTTTTCAGGGCCCCGCAACCTGAACTTGAGGTGTTCAGGGTAGGTACATGGTTCCCCTTGACCTGGATGTTGGAACTGATCCAAGTCCCAGAATAGAGAGTGACAGCCTCAGTGACCCCAAGCCCGTCAAGGTCTCCAGGCCCCCTTCCTGGGCCCCAAGAGACAGCAGGCTGGTTCTGAGAAGCCAGGAGACCCCAAATTAAGCAGGAAATTCTACCTTGCTGTCTGCCTCATGTCCTCGTGTTCTTCTTCCCCATGCATGGCAGGGAAGCGGCAGCTCTGGTCTGAGAGCCGGGGCCTGGGTCCCCACGTGGTTCTGCCTTTGGCAGCTGTGTTACATTGAGTGAACCAGCTGCAGCTTCTGCCTGGTACTTGCGCTCCTCGGCTGTAAGGGAAACACTTGTAAGGGGCCCTTTGTCCCTGACACCCCCCTCTTGTGTGATCCCCGGTTCCCTTCCAGTGAAGGAGGGCCCAAAGCAGCCCCCCAAAGCTGGTTAGCTTCAGATGGACTTGGGGAGGAGGACCCTGTCTGCAGGGAGGTCTCCAGCACCAGTGAGTGCAGGCTGCCGTCCGGGGGCAAGGGTGGGGAAGGAGGAGAATGGTCATCTCTGATGCCTTCCATTGAAGCGCCTTGGGGTGTTTCCAATGGGAGCCCTTGCTCCCTAATTACTAAAGGGTGAGGAAGTCTTCTCGGGATGGTTGGTTTTTTTTAAGATTTATTCATTTATTTGAAAGACAGAGTTACAGAGAGGCAGAGGCAGAGAGAGAGAGAGAAAGAGAGAGGTCTTCCATCCACTGGTTCACTCCCAGATGTCGGCAATGGCCAGAACTGCGCTGATCCGAAGCCAGGAGCCAGGAGCTTCTTCCAGGTCTCCCATGCGGGTGCAGGAGCCCAGGGACTTGGGCCATCTTCTACTGTGTTCCCAGGCCATAACAGGAAGCTGGATCAGAAGTGGAGCATCCAGGACTTGAACCACTCCCCTGTGGAATGCCAGCACCACAAGCAGCGGCTCTACCCACTACACCACAGTGCTGGGTCCCAGGATGATTGCCTTTGATAAGCTCCAAGCAGAGATCCTGTCTGGATTTCAGCAGCACCTATGGCCTGGGGCCATTCCCCAGGTTCACTCCATGTTTGGGTAGCGGAGAGGATTGCCATTGCAAAGGTGCATGCCTGTGTTCTACATTTAGCCTTGCCATCACCACGGGAGGCAGTTATTAGCTTCCAGAACTGACAGGCTGCAAAAGGCAGGGCCGTGCACAGCAGTGATCCGGCTCCTTTGGGCCACCAGCTGAACCAGAAGCACCTCCAGTTCTGGGTGGACTGAGACAATGGCGAGCATGCGACAGCTGAAAAAGGAAGTGGTTTCCAGGGAGACTGAGGGAGACGGAGCCAGGGTGCCTCTGATGCAGACCCCCTGCTTCCTGGGACAGAGCGGCTGCAGCCCAGAGCAGGCGAAATGGCTGCATCCTTAACCAGGTCTTCATGCCAACCATCTTACCTGTGATGGTCCACGCTGCACCCCTGCCCCCTGTCAAATCCGTGAGCAGTGGACTTGACACCGAGGCTGCTTCCATGCAGTCAGCCACAGCCTGGCTCCGTCTATGCCATCGGCTGGCTGAGTGAGAAACATTGCGCAGAGAAACGGGGCCCATCTTGTCCTGCCCAGAGACCTTAATCCGATTAAGAGCAATTCAGCCCACATAGCATGGATTACAAAACTGACAAGGCGAGATTTGACATTCAAGATATTCTCAAGTGGATGCCAAAAACAAATAGAATTCCTGGTATTAGACTTCCAGAATTCCCCAAGCGTCCTTTGCATGCAGGCGTTGCCTGCTGACTGTGCTAAGCACGTGCCTCCGCCTGTGTTTCTGCAGGGGTTCACAGTCCAGTGCAGATGCACGGGGCTCCATGAACATTTGTGTGGGGGAAGGCTTCCCAGAAATTTGTCGTACGAGCTGCGTCTCAGGGGGAACGAGAACATCTGTAAAGCAGCAGTTTCTGCTGGTCGTGTTGTCTGTCTCCAAATTAAAGCCCCAAGCGTTGTCCCAAGTGCCTGCAGCAGGAGGTGACTTCATGCCCATTCACGAGGCTCCTTACAACCTGGCCTGGGAAGGAGCCCTGGAGAGAGGAGGGAGGGGCTGGCAGTGGCTCCGCTGCAGCCTGGATCATCAGAAAGGAGCGAGGTGGCGGCGGTAAAGGATTTCACGGATGTCGATTGAAAGGCTTTAAGGAAGAGAATTGCAGAGGCAAGTCGGAGTGCCAGTAATTGGGCTTCCAGAGCCCGGGAAGGTCTTTGAACAAGAACAGAGAGTTTGTCAGCCAGAGAGAGCAACTTGGAAGTTCTGCTGCTTGGATCTGATTGACAGAGATAATGAGAGTGGCGGTGTCTGTGGAGAGGAGCTGCGGCTTCCCTGAAACATTAGAGCTCAGCTTAACCCCCTCTGCCCTGGTTTCGGCACTGCTCCGAGCTCCTCCGCTGCCCTCTCCCCGGTGGAGGTCGAGTAGACACCACCCACAAGCCAGCTCACTAATAGGACACACGTGTCTGCGGCAGGCAACAGGGCAATGGGAGGGCCCTGCTCCATTCCCAGAGGTGCTCCAGGCCCTTTCTCCTGTGCCTGAGAGCATCCAGGGAAAAAAAAAACCTGCACCAGCCCCACGCTGACCACCTCTGGGACAGGGCAGCAGAGACAGCCCCTGCCCCCGCCTGTCCCTGCCCCCTGTGGGTGGGGCCAGGACGGTTACCTGCACTGGCCTTTGGGACAGCCAGAAGACCTGCTGCAAACCTTGCAAAGCAGACCACAGGTCCCAGGGCTTGTTCTCTCATTCTTCCTTCTCCCTGGAAGTGCCGTCTGATTTCCTAGGCTTCCAATCTGCTCAGCGTCCATTTAGCTTATCCTGTGATGGGGCAAGGAGAGGAGCCCCAAATTCCCTCTGGTTTTCGACCCACAGCCATACCTTTCCATACAGTTCAAGGGTGGGTACTGGTGCTCAAAGCCGTCAGACTGAAGGTCTGCTCCAGGCCTCCGCCCAGGTCGCTACCCCTGCTAGGGAGGCAGATGCGACAGAGAATGATCCCAACGTCCCATTAAGAGACCAAACTTATTTTCTTGATATAGTGATATTTTACTTTGACATTAAGTTATAGGTACTCAGAAAATTTAGAAAATATCAAGATCCTTAAAAAGAGCATGAACATCTCCAAAGGTAAAGCACCACAGTCAAAGAAGTGCACATAAATACACCAACTAATGACCTGGACGTTTTTTCCTTTGATGTGGAAGAGCAAGGATTTTTTAATGCGTGTGCAAGAACCATCAGTGCTTCAAATAATAACACCAAAATCATGTAAAAGAAATAGCGGAGTAAGTCTTATTTTTGTAAACATGAACACGAGCAGGGGTTCCCATGGCTAACTCATTCCCCAAGAGGGGAGAAATGGGCACGTGCGTGGTGCCTCCCAAACCCTCTGTTCCTGGACTTCCACCATAACCACTAGTAGCTCGCTGCCCTCTTCCCCAGGAACACATCTCAGCCGCAGCAACACCCTCTGTGCAGCAGGGATTCGTCTGCCATTCATCCGTGCAGTGCTCAGCACACACCACCTCGCTGTGCCAGCAGTGTCTCTGTGCGTGTTCAGGAAGTCAGGTGACTCTCCCAAGGTTCTACAGTTAGAAAGAACGAGGATTTGAACTCAGACTTCTCAGGTCTGTGCCCCTAATCATTAGGCAGTACTTCCCTGACACAGCCATGGGGGTCTGTGCTCTTGCCTGACCTGCCCAGGGAGGAGGAGCTAGCTGCTTTTTGATGTCCTGTTGAGAAGAATGGAAGGACATCCAACAAATAGAGGGAACACAAAAGCAAATGCCAAGGAACCGGCGCTGTGGCGTAGCAGGTAAAGCCGCCGCCTGCAGTGTGGCATCCCGTAAGGCCGCAGGTTTGAATCTTGGCTGCTCCACTCTGATCCAGCTCTCTGCTGTGGCCTGGGAAAGCAGTAGAAGATGGCCCAAGTCCTTGGGCCCCTGCACCCATGTGGGAGACCCGGAAGAAGCTCCTGGCTCCTGACTTCGGATCAACGCAGCTCTGACTGTTGCAGCCATTTGGGGAGAGAACCAGCAGATGGAAGACCTCTCTCTCTCTCTCTCTCTCTCTCTGCCTCTCCTCTCTCTGTGTAACTCTGACTCTCAAAATAAATAAATCAATCTTTGGAAAAAATGTCAAAAAAAAAAACAAAAAAAAGCCTTTGAAGCGTCATGCACAATAGATAGCAAGGAAATTTAAAGTTGCATCCAGTCCGGAGCTTCCAGGCAGAAGATCAGCAGGCACATGTGGTCCTTGATGCCCCGCGAGGAGTGCTTGGGTCAGCTGTCTCTCTGAGGGGCTGTGCTCCTGCAGAATGGCCCTGCCCCCGTGCTCTTTCCTATTCCCGGGCAGGTGACAGAGCTGTCTTGTTCGTGTTTGGGGCTCTAGCATCGAGCAGTCTGGGCAGAGATGTTAGCGGCTTAGGGGCACACGAGTAACACTTAACTTCCCGCACTGGGAGATGGTGGGGTCCCCTACCCCAATGAGATGAGGAATCTGGACACAGCCTCTCATGCCTCAACGGTGAGCAGAGAGTGTTGGGACCTTCCATCTGGTTGCCTGGAAGGGGCTGGACAGAGCCAGGCTGATGGTAGTGATGCCTGGCTGCTCATCTCACAGGGGCCCAAGGATATTTGCATACCCTCTGGTGCCATGGAGACATCGAACAGCTCCAGAGCTGATCTCTAGGCTGAGATCACCATAGCAGCCCCACAGAGGCCTGGGGAAGCAGCTTCAAGGTTTTCCAAACTGACTTATCGCAGCTCCACCACTGGCGAGCCGGGTGGCCTTGGGCAGATTTCTTCGCTGCAGTTCTGTTTTCTCATGGCGGGGAATGGGTTTCAAATGCCCTCCGAACAGAGCAGCAGGGAATTTGATTGACAATAATTTGGAGGAGATAAAAAAATTTTGAACAACACGTTGTTCAAAAGTGAATGTTCCCAGTCAGTGTTTTTTTTTTTTTTAACATAATGATAATATTGGTGTGGTTTGCATGCTTATTTTTTACCGTTCTGAATAGAAGGAATAATGCATCTTGATTGTCTCTAATGACTTTAGCTTATATTATCTCCTGGACCATCTCATGTCCTATGCACTGTGCATAGAAATTATAGACAGAGAAGATTCCCTTTTGAACAATTTACAAAGTGAAAAACAAGAAGAATCAGTTGAAATGACTCTGATTTTTTTTAAGTAGAGGCGAAACACCAGAAAAATCCCTGTACTCCAAATTATTCCCTTTGTACTTTAACTGTTTAATATGAAATCAATGCATGGTCATTATAGACGATAAAAACCACAACAAGCAAAAGGAAAAACATAAAGAGCATTCTTGCTTCTACCATTAACTCCGCAGTCCATGAGGTCTTTTCTATGCATGTGTATAATTGTTGGGTTTTGTTTGGTTTGGATTTTTGTTTTTAGCAAAAGCAGGATTATACCATACCTGTAGTTACACAGCCTGCCCTTTTTTTCCCCCAAATCCTACAATGTGAGCGTATTTCCATTTCAATAGACACAGTCTTTGAAACATCACTTTAAGTCCTGTGTTGCCTTCCAGGCCTTCCATTGTGTTGTGGGTGTCCCATAATAAGTTCATGTTTAGCACTTGGACCGTTTACAAGGATATTTTCTCATACACAAAGCACAGAGCAAGCATAATTGATTTAAGTGAATTAGAAATTAAGAAGTACAGTATGGAACAACACAAAAGCCCCCCAAACAGACAAAGTCTTAAAGACCCTAAAATCTTTACAAAATTATGCCCTGGAGTTTGCAAAAATTACCAGAGCCTGAGAGAAGTTCCGCAGTGCCTTGTTGTTCTGACTGTGGTTGTCGCGTATGGAGCCAATTTGTTTAACCAAATGATTTGCAACCCATGCACAATTAGGGCGAATAATACACAGGAGGCATCCAGGTGGGCCCGGCCTGGGTGCTGGCAGTTCCCCAGCAATACTCGATCTCTATCTTCCTTTTCTCTACCCTTGAGAAAGAAAGAATGCAATGGCCACAAGCTTTGGAGGTGGCCTGTATACATGGTGGGTTCACTGCAGCCCAGTGTCCCCTTTGTATCACTGCTGGAGTTACAGGTGGAATTGAACCCTTGGTCCTTGTCAAGAGAGGAGAAGCTCAAGCCGTTCTCCAGCTCCCTCTGCAACAAATACTTCCAGGATTCAGCATGTAGCAGGTGCAGGAGCCACAAAGCAGGCAGCAAGACATGGTACCTCTTTCTAGCAGCAGTCTAAGGGGAAAGGCAAGCACACAGCCCCGCCCCCCCCCCCCCCCCAAAAAAAAGAACCCTGAGAACTCCATCCTCAGGGGCTGTTTCGTGCATGACAGGCTGCTGGCTCATCACCCAGTCATACCTGTTCCCTTGTGTGTCACTGTAGGTCATCAATGCTATCGAACAGGACTACCGGCTGCCCCCTCCCATGGACTGCCCCGCAGCCCTACACCAGCTCATGCTGGACTGTTGGCAGAAGGACCGGAACAGTCGGCCCCGCTTTGCGGAGATTGTCAACACCCTAGACAAGATGATCCGGAACCCGGCAAGTCTCAAGACTCTGGCAACCATCACCGCCGTGTGAGTCCAGTGAAACAGGGTGATCTCTAGGTGTGGGTGGTCTCCTGGTCAGGGCTTGGCCAGTGGCCTTTTGTTCTGTTAGGAGCAAGAGTGAGAAGAGAGAGCTCATCCACCAAGGAAAGATGTTCCAAGATGCTTATAATTATTTCCCACTCTCCACTCTCTCTGAAATGTCTCTGGCCTCCAGCATGGGTGCCACCTTTAGACGTTAAGAGACCCGCCTGGGTCTCCACCTGCTGTTGGCTTCCACTGATCTGCAGTAGTGGATCAGCCTTGTCTGATCTGTTTGGTGAGAGGCCCTATTTCTGAGTGATGCTGTTTCCAGAAGGCACCGTTCTGCTCACCATACCAGTCCTCTAAGCACATATAGTGAAGACTTGGAGATCTGGGCAGCACGTGGGCATGGGACAAACACAAGCAAAACAATTGGATCTGTGAAGGGAGAATGTACATTTATTAAATTATCTTTTCAACCAAAATGTATTAGGTGGTTACACGCCAAGCAGTATGCCCAGTGCTCCTGCTGTATCCTGAGTAAGACAGACATAGCCCCTGCCCTCATGTAGTTTAGAAATAGCGGTCAAGATGATCATGCCAGGAGATGCAAAACCTGGACCTTAAAGGGGCCACTGTGGCATGGAGGTGCAGAGATACCTTAGTCTGCTGGCAGAAGATCATCCTGATGTGAGCTGAAGGGGGAAGACACGTTGGCTAGAAGAAAAGGAATATCAGGAAAAGGGCTCCAGGCCAGGGATGCAGCAGGTGCGGATGCTAGCAGATGGGAAGACCAGGGCCAGTGTGTTGGCAGGGGGTTGACTGGGGCTGGGACTTGGCCAAGTGGGTGAGGGACAGACCCATCAGTCTAAAGGCCACGTGCAGAGTCTGGGCCTTGCTTTTGAGAACAATGAGCACCACTTATTGCAGGGTTTGTATCGGGGTGAAAGGGAGGGCTACCAGCCAGGCTGGCAACCTTGTGGTGAACCATGCATGGATTTGAGCAGACCACATCTCTGCATGATGAGGTTCGTAGGCTTCAGATTAGAAAGGAGTCAGGGCCCTTCCCTCCCCTCCCAACTGAGTGCCCTGTCCTGTGTGGACTGTGCCAGGGACCAGAGTCCCAGGGAAATGGTTTCTTGGCCCTAGAAGCCAAGAGAGGATTCTATAGAGAAGGAAGGGCTCCTCCATAATCCTCACCCCAAGGAGGACACACCTTCCACATCCAAGGTGTGACTCTGCAGCCCTGGGGTCACCCGCTCCCTCTGTGTCCCCAGGCCTTCCCAGCCCCTACTCGACCGCTCCATCCCAGACTTCACGGCCTTCACCACCGTGGACGACTGGCTCAGTGCCATCAAAATGGTCCAGTACAGGGACAGCTTCCTCACCGCCGGCTTCACTTCCCTCCAGCTGGTTACCCAGATGACGTCAGAGTAAGTAGTGGGCGGGGCCAAGGCAGAAGATGGGGAGTCCTGGCTTCTTCCCCAGAGCTCCTCCTCTATGTAGACCCACGCCTTGGTGGGAAGGGCCGGGAAAATGGATGAGGTGGAGGCGGTGAGGGGTGGAAGGCAGAGAGCCATGGTGGGCCCCCATGTGAGCTCTCCAAAGTCACAGCCCTATGTCATTCGCCTAATCATCAGGAGCTCCCATCCGCCCCTTGTTTTCAAACTTGGCCCTCAAAGAGAGCCTGCTCCTGGGAGGCACACAGCCAGCCAATGCCTCTGCTGCAGAGCCAGGGGGCGTCACCCTGGCTTAGGAGCAGTCTCAGGGCTGTGGGCCCTTGTCCTCCTGCTCAGAGGGAGCTGGGAAATAAGCACACATCCCCCTCCACACACACACAACAAATTATTTACCAGTCTGCCGCTCCCACAGGAGACTGGAGGAACACACAGAATAAAATTATGCAAATAAGATGAGAGCCAGGAAGGGTCTTAAAGTACCACGGTCGTCCATCACTTCCCCAAGAATGTTCTCCGTGGCACCAGTGGTGGGAAATGTTAATGGGTTCTCCTTGGAAAAAAAAGCGTCCCATGGTCAAATAAATTTGGGAAATACTGCGCCCTTTATCACCCTCTTGGAGATTCACTGCTCATGTTAGCATTATAAAGGCCAGGAAAAATCCTGAAATAAAGAAACCCATTTAAAATTATTAAATACCATGAAACCGTATTTTTGAGGGGTATGGCTTTATGGAACTGTAGTTTGGGAATTATTTACCTAGCCCTCCACCTTCCATTCAGCACATTCCGAGACGGTGCAGCACTGGGGCTCACGGGTGGTGGGCTGGGGCTCAGCTTGCTGTTCTGGCTGTCAGCTCACCATCCTGACCCCAGGCAGCACTGGTTCCCATTTTTACAGCACACTGGAATCACCTTGGGATGCTTATAAAATTCTGATGCTTGGTTCCCACTCCCAATCTTTTGGCTTAATTGGTTTGTGGTGAGCTCTGGTCATCAGATTTTAAAGCTCCCCAAGTGATTTTAATGTGCAGCAGCGTGTGGGGACCACTGGAATCAACTGGCAAGGGCTCACATTTTTGCCTTCTGCATCACAGAAACTCAGAGCATCCTACCTATGAAATCAGTTCCATGCCCCCCGATAAACACACACACAGCCAGAGGGCCAGCACCACGTAGGGTCTGGAGCCCTGCACCACACATGTCCCATGCTAGGGTCCCGGCAGCCCATCAGGCAGTTGACAAGAACTTCCTGATTATGTGTTTGCATCAGGCAGGGTGCTAGGTGCTGGGGTTCCCTCCTGAGCCAGGGGTAGTGTTCCATTGCTAGCAGGTGTACCCCCAGAGAGGCAGCTTCCTGTCACTGCCAGCTTTGCAGTCAAGCTCCCTGGAGTCCTGTCTGGCACTTAAGATGTCTGGCTCCACTCTAGTTTTCTGCTAGTCGGACCCTGGGGAGGCAGTAGTGGTGGCTCAAGTCACTGGGCTCCTGCTACTCACATGGGAGACTTGGATTGAGTTTCTGGCTCCTGGTTTCTGCCCTGGTCCAGCCTGGCTATCATGGGCATTTGGGGAATAAACCAGCAGATGGGAATGTGCTCACATTCATCCTCTCTCTCTATCTCTCTCTCTCTCTCAAATCTCTGTGTGTCTCTCAGCCTGTCCAAAAACTAAAAATAACCAAAGAAATGATGGCACCTCCACTTTCTTCAATGACATGATTGAATATAGCCTTGGATCCATTACTTATCAGAGTACATTTCTAAAAATCTGGGTTCCTTTCCTGGTAGTGTCTAAAATGAACAGTCCCCGACATTCCCAGTGACTGTCAAACAGCAATAAAATAAAATAAAATAAAACAGGAGCTGTCACCAGTGGCAAACCGCTCTCCCCACCTTGCAGAGCTGAAATGGGTGCCTCCCAATGGTCAAGGGGCCTGGGTTCGGGAATAGGAAGGAGTGTTGGTGAAGGCAGGACGGCTCCTGCTCTCCCACTGCACCCTGCACATGTGAGCGTGAGAACATGCATCATGCGATACCCTCCCACCCCCACCCCCCCACTTGTGTCTGCAGGAATCCACTGGAGCCATCCCCTTGGTCTGGGAATAATCTTTAGGCAAAAGAACAAGACAACCAAAAGAAAGTCAAACTGAAAATTAAGGGATTTGGTTCAAAGTGAAACACGTCCACATACTACTGAGCAATTCAGTTTGTTTCTTGAGAGATAAAAGCTGGGGAAAAAAAAAGAAAATGAGCAACTCAATAAAATATAGATTGTGGGGCAATTTGTGAATCCCAAATTCCAGCGTGTGCTGAAAAGACACAGACAATAATTTGCCGATCGCAGCCAGCTGCATCTCCTGGGGAGTTCGGTACAGCTGGCAGGGGTGGAGTGGCAGGAGGACTAAGACTCTATGGACAGGAAACCAGCCCAGAAGCAGGGGCCACCGGGGTCTGGTAGGCAGCGTACAGAGTGAGCGGTGGTGCTGTGGCCAGAGACCTTAGAAGAGCCCAAGACCTTAGAAGAGCCCAGAGTTGCCTTGCGGAGGGACTGACGGCCAGACAGGCTTGTGCTGGAACCCCAGCTCCACCAGGGCTTACTCAGCAGGTGCTCTTAAGCACATCCTTAAATTCTCTGAGCCCCACTTGACTTGGCTACAAATGCACAGACAATAACAGTGCCCCTCTCACTGGTTTGTCGTGGGAGGTAAATGGAAGAGTACATGCAAAACATTTGGCCCATTTCCTGCCCACAGGTTGCACAGCAAGAAATGCTTGCTGCTAAATTTTTCTTATCATCGACTTTGCAGTAGTTTCTCAATTCTTATGAAACGCTTCCCATAGCATTGCAGGAAGATAGGATAGGGTGCACAGGATGCGCTCAAACAGTTGTTATTTATTATTAACTAAGGAATCACGCGCCCGTCTCCCCAAGGTCAGATGCAAGCTATGAACTTGTTCGTGTTAATACTCAGAGCTCAAAGATAAATCCAAGCCAAGCCCCTAGCCCAGGCTTATTCCTCAGATTCCTGCTTGGGCAGATACTTTAAAGTTATTTTGAGATCACCCTTCTTAAAAAATGCATGACATTAAAATTCAAACAGAGGCAGAAAATGGAAACTCAGGGGAAAACATCAGAAGACCAGGCAAGCCCCGCATCTTTTCAGTCTCAGTGGGGGACCGCTAATTTAGGCAGGAGCTCCACAGAATAGCTGAAGCCCCACGGACTCCCTGCACTCCAAGTGCTAAAAGATAATCACAGAGGAACATTAGAGTCCGCTGGGGTCACGGACACAGTGAAGGGACTTCTCCAGCATCCGTGCAGGGAACACGTCTCCAGCAAGTAGACACGGTCCAGCCAGGATGGTCTGAGTTGGGGGAGGCAGAGCTGGGGAAGGCATTAGAGCCCTTGTGTAGGGAATGCGGGACTGAAGGAGAGAATGCCCAACTGGGAGTTTGCCGAAAGCCTGGGAAAGTGTGGGGTGGTTGGACCTGAACTCTTTTGCTTGCCTCACCGACCATCAGCCAAGCGTGCCTTGGGCAATGAGCTGGGACCCGGGAGAAGCTGCCCGGACACTAACGCGGCTTCCTCTCTGCCTTTTTCCCCTCCTAGAGACCTTCTGAGAATAGGGGTCACCCTGGCAGGCCACCAGAAGAAGATCCTGAACAGCATTCATTCGATGCGGGTCCAGATGAGTCAGTCACCGACGGCGATGGCCTGACAACTCGCGTGTTCTCGGGGTGGGGGGAGGCAAGGAAGGCAAAGGACCAGAGTCAGGGGGAAGCAGAGGCGGACCCCCGCGGAACACGCTGGAAAGCCTGGCTTCTCAGCTGACACGTGCACTCCCATCAGCAAAGCATGAACTAGACCTGCGGCTGGGGAGGCAACCCGGGTTCCTCCGCACGGAAGCACGCGTGCGCCGCCGCGGGAAGCCAAGTACCTCCCAACAAAAGTCTAAAAAGGTGACGTTCAGCGGAAGTGAAGACCACGCACTATGCCTCGGGGGCAGCGGCCTGAGCTGAGCCCCCACCGTCCCGGGCTGCGGCAGGAAGAAGGGAAGGAGGTGGAGGTGGAGGGAGGGGACAGACGCCCTGTTCCAGTTTCTTCCCCACCAATGACATTCTTTTCTTTTCTCCTTGCGCTCTGCTCCCCGCGAGCCCCTTCCTCTCCCAGCCGCCTCGCCCTTCGCCCCTGGCTCGTGTCGGGAAATGTCTCGGAACACACACACACAAAAACCCAGCTCCCGAGTCTCCAGATCTCGTTCTGTCAGTTGCCAAAGGACGTTGCTGACCACTGCATGGGGATCCAACCAATTCAATTAATGTCTTCATATTGAAGAAGCGATGTACCTTCAATTGAAAACCTTGTTTTTCTTTTGTTTGCATTTTCTGCAAAAAGGAAAAAGAAACCACAAATTGGGGAAAAAAATAGAAAAACCTGTTTCCGTGTGCGAGAGCACGCCTCTGTATGTCTGCGTTCCACAGTGATTGTGCTTGTGCGTAACAGATGTGAATAAGAAACAAGAACCGGGACGTCTTTGCTCTGGGATATCCAGAGGGGCCGGAATGTGCTGGGGGTCGGCCCAGTGGCCTCTCAGCTCTGTGGGAAGAGAGGTGAGGGTGGGGGGATTACTATGAGAAGGGGAAAGCCAAACGCCCAAGAGTTTACACATTCAGACAGGAAACAGGTGAGCGGTTTGAATTGGGTGCAGTGCGGGCCATTCTGGAATGATGCTGACTGAGTGATTCCTGTGGGTGCCACCTGAAGAAATCGGAAGGGAAGTGTTTCTGGAGAATGTTCTTCCACATCCGGGGAGTGTGCCATCAAGAGGGGGCGGGGGAGAGTCCATCTTGCCTTACCTGTGGACTGGCGTAAGCCGCGTGGCGTTCGAGGAATGTTTCAGATGTGTCTGTGTTTCTCTTTGCATTCCTTATTGTACCTCATTGTTCGATTCACTTTTGTAAATTCCACCTAACATTGAAATGTTTTTAATTTTTCCTTTGACCTTAAGCTCCTTGCTAATTTTATCTGTCTAATTAAAGTGAGCAGAAGCATGTCTGGGTTTACATAGAATGGCGTCAGAGTGTGTGTCGCTGGGTCCCCGGTGGGTTGTCCCCCATGGGGAGAATCCTCAGCCACCTTCCTCCTCCCTTCCCCTAACGTGGGAGAGAGGAGCCGGTCCCTGAACCCACGGCTGCCAAGAAGAAAAGTATATTAGACTCCCTGGCATGGAGAAGGAAAAGCTGAATGCACTGGCGATGTGAGAAGTCACACGATGGCCAATGACACACTCAGCCCTGATTTTAGTGTGATTCACACCCAGCCTGATTATAGAAAAGCCATTAAAGCTTGCCTGGACTGTGACTGGGAGCATGTAGCTGGCGGCTGGGGGGAGGGGAAGTGAGACAGCCAAGAGCTGTGGTTCCCAAGGAGCCCACTGAATACATACTCAGGCAGCATCAGCCTTTGCCCTGGTTCTGGGTAACTCTGACCTTGGGCGGTTCTTACCATCTGAAGTCACCAGCCAAGATTCCTATAGCAGGAAGGCCTCTCAAAGAGGCCGGGACCCCTAGGGGTGCAGCTCCAACCCAGGAGAGTGTGCCTTAAAGCTCTCCCAGGGGCTTGACCCCAGGAGAAGATGGACAAAGGCCCAGCAGGTTCATGTGTGGGTGCAGAGGCCAGGCAGGCGGGTAGACACCAAAACTTGCCTGCATTAATCGCTTACCAATTCCATGTGCAACTTACTAATTACTCCAAAGACTTCAGTCCACGAAGTATCTTACAAGCCTGGGCAGTTTGCTTCATCCACTCTCAATTTTCCACAGGAATGAGTCTTAATTGTCACCAGGTTCCTCAGGCAGGCAGCATCCTGTAACCCTGCACCCTCACTGTGCCTCCAGCAAGGCTGACCCACTTTCTGGCTTGTGGAATACGCAGGGTCAAGATCAAAGTCACACCAAGCCCTTTGGTTTGGTGGAAAGGAGAGCGAGAAAAAGTATATCGGAAGACAGTGTGAGGGGTCAGCAGAGCCATGGCCAGGGACCCCAAGGCACAGACTTCAGGGGAGGCCACCCCCATTCCTGCCACCCAGGTGCCCTGTTCAGCATGGGACCCCAGGCTGCCCCAAGCCCATGCTGCGGATGAACTGCAGAGCAGGGGTGCGTGAAAGGGAGTGAGGGGCGGCACTAGTGAGTGAGACCTCACACACGACCCCTAGCGCAGGGCCCAGCCTCTGCGGGCCCCCGCTTCCTCATGTGAGTAACAGGAAAGTAATAGGTACCTCTGGTAAAGAGTACCTGGCGTTCCTGGCTGGGTTCTCTGGACCAGGCATTTTTCTGAGTGCTTTCCGTGTCTGCACTCCCTCTCTCACCATCACCTTGTGAATGGGTAACGGGTTCTTCAGGTGCTTCGTTATCCCCAGTTTTAGGAAACCAATAGACAAATTCCCTTCCCAGGTCACTTGATGGAGGAACTAGGATTTCCATGATTGGCGATATGACTCCCTGCTGTGAGCCACCACCCCGAGGGGTCTCCCAGGCCCAACACTGGTGCTCTAGCATCCCTGTGCTCCAACACAGGTCACGGGCTCCCTCTCTGGGTTCTGGACAGGAAGCTGAGGCAGGCCTTGCACTTCTCCTGAGTCTCCAAGGGGTGCACCTGCTGCAAGTCCAGAGGCACAGCTTGAGTAGCACTGCACTGCACTACCCTGCCTTCTTGAGAACAGGTGGTAATGGGCCCAAAGCCCCTGGCTGGGGAAGTGGCAGCCACTGAGGGTTAGCTCTCCACGTGGAAGACCCAGATTGGGTTCCCGGCTTCTGCCCCAGCCCTGCTGCAGCCAGCGCTAGTTGTTGGGAGCATTTGGGGAGTGAACCAGTAGACGGGAGATATCGCTCTCTCTCTCTCTCTCCCCCCTGGTTTGTTTTTTTTTTTTTTTTTTTTTTTTTTTTTTTTTTTTTTTTTTACCTCTCTGCCTATCAAATAAGTAAATTAGATTTAAAAAGCCCCACACTTTTCACAGTGGTCAGTGGCCTGTGACCCTGAGAGCCAGGCCAAGGAGTAGGAATCTGTCCCACAGAGCCCAGAGCATGGATCACAGCAGGTGGACCACCAAGATCAAGTGGGTGGGGACCACACAGAGGCAGGCGGGAGATGGTAATAGAAGCAGCTGTGGAGAAGCCATGGAGGTTAGGCTCCACCTCCCTGCACCCTCTCCCCACCCGTGACACTCAAAGAAGGGAATGACAGGCAGGGGGCAGGGAACCCACACATCTACAGAGCCTGTGTTTATTGCATCACTCAGAGATCCCTGAAGTCCAGATATCAAACAGGCTCATGTACCACTAAGAGTCTGTGCTTGCTGCCACCTCCCACCTCCACACGGTGTGCAGACCCTGGTCCCTGGGTGCTCACTGAGGTCTCCTGGGATCATTGCAGTCTGCTGAGGAGGAAAAGTGTCCTTGAGAAGAGAGACAAGTAGCAAAGGAGGCATAGGATGCCAGCAGTCCTGAGGCCAGAGTGAGACACAGCAGGAATGAGAGAATCTACAGGGAATCTATTAAAGATGCCAGAATGTGAGGGCTGCATTGTACAGTTCTAGGAAGGCCCATGTGAGTGTGTTTGGGATTTCATCATCATGTAAAAATCGTAACTGCTCCAGCACCAACTGGCTGAGGGCGTGATTAGTCCCTAGCAAGGGAAGTGAGGGGGGAGGCACAGCTATTACCAGGGTAACAGCAGCCAACGGTCAGCACCCAGCAATCTCAAAGACACGCAGTGCCCAGAGGCCTGAAGCTTCAGTCAGGGTGAGCGCTACAGAGCTTCAAGCTTGCAGTTCATAGAGGAGTTGCACGGTCGTTCTCAGAAGTCGCCCGAGGTACTGTGTCGTTCAAGATGTCAGCGGGACTGGGGGTTGGGCTGGTGGCACAGGGGAATCCCTAAGGTCACAGAAAGTTGTCCAGGGGGAAGGTCGTGTGAGTTGACTGAGGTCAAATGGTGACCTTGTTCACTACCAGGACGTTTCGTGAGACCAGCAGCTTCCAAATGAGAGCAGGTGCACATAGGTCTAAAAGCAAAGTCTCGAGCCTTGGCTGAGACCGGAGGCCCTGGTGGGATGGGCTGATGTATCCTACAGATGCCATTTCCGGGCGCTTGTGAGGGACACACCTGTTGGGCGGAGGTGAGTGAGAGACGGAAGAGTCCTCTCCCTGCTCCTGCCTTAAGCTTGGGCTGGTCTTGGTATCACATCCCCTGGATGCCTTCCCACATTGTGAGAAATCGTGTCTTGGCTCATACCATCCCAGCCAGTACCTTCCAGCAATTCCCTGAGTAGAGACACAAGGCACACTGGGCACAGCATTCTCACCTCTGTCCCCAGCACTCAACACACCACTGCCTGACCCAGGAAAGGTTCTCAGTAGGTGTTTGGAGGCTGAAATAATAACTGAGAAAGTTTAGCTTGTCATTGTGTCACCTGCAGAAGTGCATGACCTTAAGCAGCATGCTTTAAAATAAATTAATCCCTGGGTATTTAGTTGGGATCTTTCTCAATTACTCTTAACTGCTATCAATCGTGGTCTATTCTAATTTTAGTTTTGTGAAGTTGAAAACACTCCTTTTCAACCCTGTCTGAATCGTTCATGCGTTGTCATCCTCTTCCCCAGAGCTGCAGCCCCGGGGTGAAGCAGCCTCCCACTGAGCATCAGTCACTGTGCACAGGCCCCAGGAGGCAGAAATTAATTTGATGCTGTTCCTGGTACCGCAGAGACAAAGCTGAAGGGCAGTGGAGAGCAGGGGCAGAGCACGGCCCACGCTTCCGAGAGCAGACTGTGGCTGTGGCTGCCGGGTGCTGTCTGTCTGTTCAGGGACAGTCATAGTGGTTTCTACAGCTCCCTCTCTGCTAAGACATTCTTCTAAGAGTCCTATGGCCTCTCTGCAGCCAGTGCTACCATGAGAATTCCTGTAGCCTCCCACTCAGTGGAAGGATACAGAAATCAAAAAGAAAAAAAAGAGAAAAAAATGATGGGCACATAAGCTCCTGTGAGCTACGGAGATACTCAGCCTATGCTGTTTGGTTTTAAAGGAGGCAACCTCTCTTCGCCCCAGGAAGATGTTGGTTTCCTCCGCTGGGCTTGTTTTAAACCCATATCTGCATAAACATGGGCAGCTACTGCAGCTCTTGAGATGGTTTTCTGAGACAGAACAAGATGCCATCCTTATAGCAGAGCCCAGCTTTGCAAATCGCCCCAGCAGGGAAGCAAGCATGGGTACGGCAGTGCAGGGAAGGGCATTGCTGCTGTCCCAGGTGGCCAAGGAAAGCATCGCCGAGGGGCTCTGCTCACCCAGGACCGGAGGACTGAGAAGAGCTGCCACATTTGGGGTTGGGTGTTAAGGGGACAGGGAAGAGGTTCAAGGGCTGGGGTGTGGGTGGGCTGGGGAATATAGCACTGGATGGGGGTGGCTGGAGGGGTAAGCCCAGCAAGATCATGAAAGCGATGATAAGGAATATGGGTGTTACTCTGAATGCAAGGAGTAGACGGGGGTCGAAGCCAGGGGATTCTGTGTCATACAGATCCCTCTGCCCATGAAATGGCAATGGAACGGCAAGAGCTGGACCTGCTTCGGGGAGACTGAGAGGGAGCTGGGGGCAATACTCTAGGCAGAGGATGGAGGTGTCCTGGGCAAAGGTGTGGAAGTAGCAGTGGGATGGAGAAAGTGGGGTTGACCCAAGGAATGTGGAGGAGGAGAGGTCAGCAGAAAGGGGAGTGGATTTGCTGTCGGAGGTAGTTAGGGCAGAGACGATGTTGACACCCACGTCTCTGGTTTGAGCAGCTGATTGGATTTTGATACCATTCACTGAGAGAAGGAATGCAGAAGGAGGAAGGTGCTGGTGGTGGTTGTGGAGGGGGCCTGGGGTAATAGGAATTTGGCCATTGGATACAATGGTCCACAATTCAGCATCAAGATTATGCTGATGGGGCCAACGCTGTGGCACAGCGGGTTAATGCCCTGGCCTGAAGCACCGGCATCACATATGGGAACTGGTTCTAGTCCCGGCTGCTCCTCTTCCAATCCAG